TAGGTGCCGAGGTAAGCGGCATATTGTTTTCCGCACTCGCACGTACATTTTGGTCCTTCGGGCCGGATTGAAGCTCAACAATATTCATTATTATGGCGAACAAAAAAGAATATGATGATTTATTAATCGATAGAGCTCGCATAAAAGCTACTGTGTCGAGAGCTTTATCAATATACACGAAATACAATTGGACAGAAAACAATTTAGAAGAATTGAAGTTAAGAAGAGAAAAATTATCTAAACAAGGGGATTTATTTGATGAAATTCAGGATAAGATAGAGCACAGCACTTTTAATATCACAACTGAAATTGATAAGGAGCGTGAAGGTTTTGAAGAAAAATACTTCGCAACACTAGGAGAGTATAACAAATGTATTAAAGATTTAGAAGCAACCCATAATACAACAATCTCACAAAATTCGTCAACAACTATTGCAAATCATCCGTCACGACTTCCGACGATCCCATTACCACACTTCAGCGGTAACTATCAACAGTGGAAACCATTTATTGATCAATTTAATGCTCTTATCACAAATGATACTTCACTATCAGATGTTCAAAAAATTCACTACCTAAGGTCATGCTTAAGTGATCAAGCATTCGATGTCGTAAGCACATTGGCATCAACAGATAGTAGCTTCAATTCGGCCATGGATTTATTAAGACAAAGATATGACCACAAGCGAAGAACTATACAATCTCACATACGCGCAATTCTGGACTTGCCAAAAATTTCGATATCATCAGCAACAACATTAAGTACACTTATGGGTGAAACTCAGAAGCACATACAGTCATTGAAAAATCTCGGTCAAAGCGTTGAAAAATGGGACTCATTAATAATTGAAATTGTGTTGAGAAAATTAGACAAAATTACTTTACAACAATGGGAGCTGTCTCTCCAAACCACCGATGTTGTGCCATTTTCAGCCCTGGAAACATTTTTAGATGCACGAATTAGATCACTTGAAGCGTTTGAAGGATCTCAGCGAATCAACGTGGAACCACCACGAACAACAAAAAATACATTTTCCAAACAAGGATCATATTTCGTCGCGCAAGACAATAGCAAGGTACTGTGTCCTGTTTGCAACCATAGTCATGAAATTTATAGGTGTTTTAAATTTAAAAATATGAAGGTTCCCGAGCGTTATACAACAGTTCGTAAACTACATTTATGTTTCAATTGTCTCTCGGCTGGTCATACCGTTGAAAAATGTAGCGCTGGTAAATGCCGAAGTTGTGATAAAAGGCACAATACTCTATTACACGACATTGAGCGAAAAAACTCTAGAACTGAACAGCAAGGAAAAGAAAAGCGTCCAATAGAGCAAGAAATTACGCATGGACATTCTTCGAATCAAGAAGAATCTACGTCGTCATTATGTGCACATATAAGACACAACAGTCACGTTTTACTGGGAACAGCTGTCGTGAACATCGAAAACAATTTCGGTCAGTTAGTGAAAACTCGTGCTGTCTTAGATAGTGGTTCTCAAATCAATCTTATCTCAAATCGATTAGCTACTAAGTTAAATATTCCAAGACAAAAAGGGACAATGCCAGTGAGTGGCATTGGATCTTCATACGTGAATATCTCTTCTTGGATATGGGGCAAGTTGCACTCACGTCAATCAACGTACTCCAAACAAACAGATATGTTTGTCATTAATGCAATCACGCATCAACTACCTGTTGCACACATTGATGTCTCAACATGGGCTTTGCCAGATCACGTTCTTAATCAATTAGCTGATCCAAAGTACAATCAACCTGCTGAGATCGATTTATTACTCGGTGCAGAATTATTTTTCGATCTATTGGGAAACGAGCAAGTCAAACTAAACAATGGATCAATAACTGCATACAACACAAAGCTTGGGTGGGTACTTTCAGGAAAGGTACAATATGAACAGCGAACACCGTCATCAATGTGTTTATTAGCGTCAATACATAATGCCACCCCATTAGATGAAGCAAAGGAAACTGAAAATCATTTTTGTTCAACATACATCAGAAATGAGTCAGGTCGCTTCGTTCTTAAACTTCCATTCAAAGACAACTTCAATCTGGGAACTTCATATGATATGGCTCGGAGACGATTCTTTAGTCTTGAAAAAAGAATGTCCCTAAATGAAAACCTCAAAGGCCTGTACATTGAGTTCTTAAAGGAATACGAAACACTTGGACATATGACACGCATCGAAAACTCATCAAATATCCACACAGAGTGTTATTACATGCCTCATCACGCAGTGTTGCGCTCTTCAAGCTTAACAACGAAGCTGAGGGTAGTTTTTGACGCATCGGCAAAGTCCAGCAACGGAACTTCGTTAAATGATGTGCTAATGAATGGTGGCATAGTTCAAGACGATCTAGTATCAATTGTTCTGCGTTTTCGTCTTCATGAATATGTTATGACAGCAGACATTGAGAAAATGTACAGACAAATTTTAATTGACCCAGCACATAGAAATTATCAACGTATTTTATGGAGAGACTCCCCTGAAAAGGAGTTATCTCATTATCAGCTCAATACCGTAACTTACGGAACAGTGTCAGCACCATACCAAGCCACTCGATGTCTACAAGAACTATCAACCCTGAATGCTATCAATTATCCTCGAGCAGCTGAAGCAATTAGAAAGGATTTCTACGTCGATGATCTGTTGACGGGAGCAGATTCAATTGAAGAAGGCATAAAGCTACAAAATGATATCTCTCTAATATCAAATTCAGCTGGAATGAATCTCCGGAAGTGGTGCTCAAATAGTGCAAGATTAGTAGCCAATATGACAAACACAAACTCGAATGAACACGTAATGCTTGATTTGGAGGACAATGATACAACTAAAACTTTAGGTTTAGTTTGGAACCCAAGAAAGGACCAGCTTCTATTCCGAGTATCACCTCACTCAAATGATCATCCATACACAAAACGAACATTGCTGGCTGATCTAAATCGAGTATTCGATCCACTAGGATTCCTGTCACCACTATTGATTCGTGGTAAGATGTTTATACAGGAACTCTGGCAATTGAAGCTGGATTGGGATACTTCATTACCAAATGACATGTGTCAAAGGTGGTGCAAGTACACAAATGAACTTTGCAATTTAGATGATCTTCGAGTTGTGCGCAAGGTGAAATCGGCTCCAGTAGGTGATTTTGAACTACATGGATTTTGTGACGCCTCAATTGGTGCATATGGAGCATGCATCTACATAAGGCAGAAGCAACCTGACAATTCTTATAAGTGTCATCTGTTAATAGCAAAGAATCGAGTAGCACCTTTGAGGACAGTTTCCATCCCACGCTTAGAGTTATGCAGTGCACTCGTTCTAGCAATATTAATGGAAAAGGTCACAAAGGCAACAAATGTCGATTTGAAGCGTTGTACGTGTTGGACTGATTCAGCTGTTGCACTGGCGTGGATACGGGGAATATCCAGTCAATGGGCAACATTTGTTTCAAATCGTGTTTCTGAAATTCAGACACTCACTGAAGGCATGACCTGGAGACACGTACGAACGAAATTCAACCCTGCAGATTTAGTGTCTCGTGGCATGACTGCGACAGACCTGAAAGAGTCAAAATTTTGGTGGAATGGTCCAACGTTTCTTGAACAACACGATTCTCAATGGCCAACAGAATTATCAATTACTCCTGCAGTAGACCAACTTGAAAGGCGTCCAACTAGATTCACATTATTAGTAAAAAGAGACGATAACAGTTTGTTGAATCGATATTCTCGTTGGACTAAGTTGCTTCGTGTCACAGCCTTCATACGCAGATTTATACATAACACGCGTGTTGCAAAGAACCAGCGGAAAAACAGCAGTCAAATCTCTGTTCAAGAAATCAGAGAAGCAAAAAGTACCTGGATTAGGATAACACAAGAAGAGGAATTTCAATGTGAAATCAAATCCCTTCAACAGAACACACCACTGTCCAAGCGCAGTAAACTCATCGCACTAAGTCCATTTCTTGACGAAGACATAATCAGAGTAGGAGGTCGATTACAACATTCTCATCTGCCAAATAATCAACGCCATCCAGCCATTTTGCCAAAGAGCCACAAAGTGACGGAATTAATATTCAACGAATACCATCAGCGTTTCCTTCATGCGGGCCCTCAAAACTTACTAGCAAGAATTCGTCAAGAGTTTTGGCCACTTGATGCAAGAAACACTGCACGAAGAATTGTCCATAACTGTAAAACATGCTATCGTGCCAAGCCCATAACGTTCCAACCTGTTATGGGAAGATTGCCACAACTTAGAGTAACTAAAACAAGACCTTTTACAGCAGTAGGAGTGGACTTTGCTGGACCCATCTACTTGCATTCAGGGCCACGAAACCGAACAGTGACAAAGGCCTACATCGCTGTTTTCATATGTTTTAGTACCAAGGCAGTTCATCTGGAGGCTGTCGGAAGTTTGTCGGCACAATCTTTTTTAGCCGCTTTACGCCGTTTCTTTTCGCGTCGTGGTCACAGTGCACATATTTATTCTGATAATGGGACAAATTTCATCGGAGCAAGATCAGAGTTAAGACGTTATTACCAAGAAAGATGCAACACAAACAAAACTGTGCCAGAAACATTAGCAGCGGAAGAAATACAATGGCATTTCAATCCACCAAGCGCTCCACACATGGGTGGAATATGGGAAGCAGCCGTCAAGTCCACTAAACACCATTTAACAAGAATTGTCAAGTCAGCAATGCTCAACATGGAAGAAATGAGTACCCTTCTATGCCAAATCGAAGCTTGCCTTAACAGTAGACCATTAACCCCTCAGTCAAGTGATCCAGAGAGCTTTGCGGTACTGACTCCAGCACACTTTTTGGTTGGTGGATGTCTGACCCTTCCCCCAGAAGTTCAACATCCAGAGAAACCCACCAATTTGATAAAAAAATGGCAACTTGTACAGGGGATGATGCAAGTGTTTTGGCGTAGATGGTCATCAGAATATCTTCATACATTGCAAACACGAGCAAGATGGAATATAAGCAAAGGGATGTCAGTTGGACAAGGAGATCTTGTGTTAATTCGAGAAGACAATCAACCTCCACTTAACTGGCATGTCGGCCGAGTAGTTAAGGTGCATCCAGGTTCCGATAAAGAAATAAGAGTAGTAACAATAAAAACGCATGGAGGTAAGACGATTCAAAGACCGGTTGTAAAATTATGTCCACTTCCATACATGGACAAGGAAGACAACATGCAACTCTCACATGTCGGGGAGAATGTAGCGGCCTAACAAATAAAATTGCGACAAAATTATTATTGTTCAC